CTTGGTGAAAACATCAGCAGTGTTGGCCTCAGAGGCCACGTACGCAAGTCGCAACTGACCACGCTGCTGCAACTCACGAGCAAGAAAGTAGCGGAGAGCAATGTGCTTCGTTCTGTGCTCCAGGCGCTGCTCCCAACACAAGGCTAACATGGCCTTGTTGTCTACGTACAGCACCGGAGGAGAACGAGGCGGCTCTCCAAGGTCACTCAGCAGGTAGGTAAGCCAGCGAAGCTCCTGTGCAGCCATGGCCCCGGCGTAGATCTCAGCCTCACAACTAGAGCCGAGAACAGAAGACGAGCGGGTAGCCCGCCACGAAACAGAGCCGGAACCAAGGCTGAAGGTGTAACCCTGTGACGACCGCTGCGTAGCCTGGTCGTCTACCCAAGAAGCGTCCGCGTGCCCAGTGAGGACCACTGGACTCCGCCCTCCAAGCACTAGCCCCATGCCCGACGTACTGCACAAGTAGCGCAACACCCTCTTCCCTGCAGCCATGTGCTCTGGTCTGTGTCTCCCAGGAGCAACATAGTGTGCAAGAATGCTAAGAGGGTATGCAAGGTCAGGACGTGTGCAGGTCATCAGATACATGAGGCAGCCAACAAGCTCTGGGTACGGGCCACTCGACTCTATGGACTCATCCGAAGGCAGAGCTGAGAGCAAGTGGCGAGTAGACAGAGGAGTGGCCTGAGGCGAGGAGTACGTGAAGCCGAAGCGCTGAAGGACCTGCTGCACCATGTGTGATTGAGTCAAGGTAATGGTGCAGCGTGCTCTGTCCCAGGTGATCTGCAAGCCAAGGTAGCTGCGCAGTTCACCCAGGTCTGTGCACGTGTGTCTCTTCTGCAGCTCGGACTTCACGTGGGCGAGTCCAGCAGTGTCAGCTGTGGCAAAGACCAAGTCGTCGACGTACATGAGGATGTAGAACGGCGGCAGAGAGGTGTCGGTGCGTAGAAACAGCGACGGGTCAGCAGTAGAGGGAGCAAACCCAAGAGCCGCAAGTGTAGTCCTCAGTGTGTCGTGCCACTCGCGCGGTGCCTGGCGGAGACCGTAGACTGGCCGTCGGAGGCTCCACTGGGTGCCAGGAGGGAAAGTCCCAGTAAAGCCAGGTGGACGGCGCAGCCAGATCTCCTCGTGCAAGCTGCCCTGTAGGAAAGCAGTGCTGAAGTCAAGGGAGTGAAGCTCGTAGTCACGCTGAGCGGCTACGTGTAGCAGCACCCGAAGAGTGGTCATCTTCGGGGTGGGAGAGAAGGTCTGAAAGTAGTCAACTCCCTGCCGCTGACTGAAGCCACGAGCCACGTACCGCGCCTTGAAGACAGGTGGAGAGCCCGGCGGCCGCTTCACCCTGAAGATCCACATGCCACTGACGATGTTCGCCCCAGAAGGGGGAACCGCGTCAACGTAGGTGCCAGTGGACTTCCAGGAAGCCATCTCTGCATCCATAGCTGCCTGCCACTAAGAGGAGTAGGGACCCTCTACGGCCTCCGCATAAGAGCGCGGAGTTGGGATGTCTAGTGCATCCGGGTCTCCCTCAGGGGTAAGCAGTACGGACGCGAGATGAGGTGAAGCAGCAGCCAAACACTGGAAATCCTCCTGCCTGTCCTCAAGGACGTCCGTGCCAACAGCACACTCACCCCCGACGGACAGAGGACAGACAGACGCAGACTCAGCAACAAGACTAGCAGCGTAGTCTAGACAACAGCGAGCAGCAAAGTCGACGAGCTCAGCAACAAGAGCAGACGCAGCAGTGGACTCAAAGGAGGGGTCAGTGACGACAGTAGCAAGGAGACGCGAGACAGTAGGACTGGCAGCACGAAGAGAGTCCGACTCAGGGTCGGCAAGCACAGGAAGAGAGGACTCAGGAGGAGAGGGCAAAGGGCACGCAGAGGAGCAATGGACGGACGTAGAGACATGCGGTGCGTGCTAGGGACAGGAGGAGGACGCTGACGTGAACTGCGACCACTAGTGCGAGCAGCACGAACAGGCGACGCAGGACGAGACGCAGGCTCACGACGCTCAGCAAGACCTCCAGTAGGACCAGTGTAGGGAGAAGGAGAAGGCAGTGGGGAGGCCGGCGGAAGCTGTGACTGGGAGTGGACAGGCGGTGGACACCTCAGCAACATCACCCTTGCTGCGCAAGGGGAAGACTGTGGTGTAACGCGAGTAGTCGTCAACCACCAGCACGAAGTAGCGCTCGTGACCCTGTCCACGTACGCGGGCCGGGCCCCACACGTCCATGTGAAGCGTCTGCAGCGGGGCCTCTGTTGGGGGAAACTGAAAGGAGTGAGGGGCAGCTCGGAGCCGCCCCTCGACACAAGGAACACAGGAAGGACCAGGCCCCGAAGGAAGGGGAGGGAGGGACCGGGGAAGACGAGAGACAAGGACACGGGAAGCCATGCCTCGGAGACGAGGCAGGGAGGGGTGACCAAGACGGTGGTGCCAGAGGAGAGTCTCGTGAGACAGGAGGCGACACGAGCAGGGGGCAGACTCAGAACCAGACCTGGACGCTGCAGCAAACACCTGACCCGACGCAGCTACCTGACCAGACGCAGTGATTGGAGGAGACTCAGTGGTTAGTGTGTACAGGCTCGACCCCGGCCGACGTGTAAACGTGGCCAGGTGTCGGCCTGTCCGAGCGTCCGTGCAGTGGGTCACCCGCTGACTCGCAGGAGTGAACTGGTGAACCCCCGTATCCTGCAGGTCAGCACCACTCACCAAGTTTGTAGAGAACGAGGGGAGGTAAAGACCAGACAAGGTGCCAGAGGGGGCAGCCGCATACGGGAGGACAGTGGAGAAGTGAGAGAGGACAGGACCCCCAGAGGGGTCTGCCAGGGAGACTGCAACTGGCCGACCAAGCGGCGTGAGTGTGGTGCGGTCTCGAAAGAAGTAGCGAGAAGCCCCTGAGTCAAGTGTGAAGGTGAGGGAGGCCGAAGCCGACGTGGTACCTGAGAGCGCAGACTCACCAGCACCTGAGGGCGCGGACGCACTGGCACCTAGAGCAGCAGCCTCACCAGTACCTAGAGCAGGAGTACCAATGCCCGGGTCGGGCGGGAAACACCGGTAACAGTCACCCTCATCACTAATAGTCACAGCATACATGGCAGCAAGGATAGCATCAAAGTCAAGATCAAAGATAGCTACGACTGCCCTAGACAGCTCTCCCCAGCGGGGGATCTCACTAGCCTCCGAGAACTGCTGACGCCAAGCGTCCGTCAGGCGGCCAAAGCAGCGCTGGGTGGGGTGAGCACCCCCAAACTGCTCACCCGCGCGGTCGCCGGAGCGGAGGACGTAGGTGCACGGGCCAAAACCCCCACCACGCTGACGCTGCGTGTACCACTCACGGAGCTGCTGAGGAGGGGGGATGTCCCGAGAACGCTGCTGCTGCTGCTGCTGCTGGCGCTGACCACTCCCGGAGCCGCTCCGCTGAGATTAACCACCCCAACCAGCTCCACCTCCTCCACCACCGCCGCCTCCACCTCCACCGCCACCGCCGCCTCCGCTCCCACCGCTACCGCCACCGCCGCCTCCGCCTCCGCCGCCGCCACCGCCACCTCCACCCCCGCCACCACTCCCACCGCCACCCCCACTCCCCTCGCCGCCCCCACCGCCACCTCCACCACCCCCGCTAGCCCCACCCGCGCCCTTGCCCCCCTTGCCCTTGCCAGAGCGGCGTCTCCCGCTAGGGGCAGACGCCGCACCGACCGACTCAAGACCAACGAGGTCAGCCGCAGCAGCAGAGGCGACGGAGGGTAACAAGAGGAAGGGGAACACCCCTCAAAGATGGGTGTGCGAGGGTCACCACGAGAGGCTCCTACAGCGACTATGCTCTTCTCCGTTGCGAGGAGGCCTTCTCTAGGAGGTCAACAGTGAGAGTGGTGGGACAGACTGAGAGGAAGTGGTCCCTGACTACGCGAAGGGAGTGAGGGAGGCGAGTGACTATATAATAGAGAGTGATGTACATGGGGGGGGGATTCTTGGCGCAGAACTCAGCAGGATGTGCGGCACGGTAGCGAGTGTCACTAGTGCGGAGGTGCGTAACGAGGTCAGCGACTGTGGGAAAGGCAGCAAGGTCAAGGAAGAGGTACGATAGCATGAGGCGGCTCAGTGCAGCAGTGGCAGGGGAAGAGTAGCGCGCAACTACAGCGTCGTATAAGGTGTGAGCACTCTTGTACTGACTTAAGTGCGCGCGCTCAGAGGTAGGCAGGTGGCGACGCACAGCAAGACGTGCAGCAGCATCGCGCGTGGCCCACTGGGAGCGAACAGTGGGGTCAGCATCAGCAGCAGGGGCAGGAGAAACGCCAGAGGTGAGGTCAAAGAGGGAGAGACCGTCTGCCCTATCGCACTGTAAGAAGAGCTGCAGGTCATCAACCCAAACCTCAAAGTCAATGGCTCGACCCTCAGCGTCAAAAGTGAGAACACTAGGGGAAGCCATGACAGCAGTAGACTAGTGAGACCAACTGTAGGACAGAGGCCGTGCAGTGACAGAAGCGCTGGTCTCATAAGACAGGGCAAGTCGGGCAGCTCAGTAGTGCAGTAACATGGCAACACGGCTGCTCGGACGGCTCAGTAGCGACTGCGGCTCCGCGGCACCGGCGACTCGGCTGATCAGGCGGCTCGGGCGGCTCGGGCGGCTCGGGCGGCTCGGGCGGCTCGGGCGGCTCGGGCAGATAAAGTTAGAACGAGAATGAATTGACTATGAACGAAGTGAGTACAAATAGGAAATCCTAGTTGGGTTGTACCCCCAATGGGATACCCCACTATAGCCTACACAAATAAGTAAGCTGTAATGTTCTGACACACCCCCATAGGCAAAGTGGGGGAGAACAAGGGGTCACAAGACCAGTCAAGCAAAGCAAAGCAAAGCTCAGGGTGGATCACAAAGTCACCACACATTCCGAGCACAAGTTCAAGGGCCACAAGGCCAGTTCACATGCAAAAGCATATATAGAGATATACAAGAGTCAAGCAAGCAAGAACAAGAGTATATATAGGTCAAGGTACAAGCAAGGTCAAGAAGTGAGCAAGTGAGGCAAGACAGGCACAAGACCCAGCTGCGTGCAGCAACGCTGAGAATCACAAGGCGCAAGTGCCTTGGTGAAGACATCAGCAGTGTTGGCCTCAGAGGCCACGTACGCAAGTCGCAACTGTCCACGCTGCTGTAGCTCACGAGCAAGAAAGTAGCGGAGAGCAATGTGCTTTGTCCTGTGCTCCAGTCGCTGCTCTTGACACAAGGCCAGCATGGCCTTGTTGTCTACGTACAGGACTGGAGCAGAACAAGGCGGCTCTCCAAGGTCGGTCAGCAGGTAGGTGAGCCAGCGAAGCTCCTGAGCAGCCATAGCCCCGGCGTAGATCTCAGCCTCACAACTGGAGCCGAGAAGAGAAGACGAGCGGGTAGCCCGCCACGAAACAGAGCCAGAACCAAGGCTGAAGGTGTAACCCTGTGACGACCGCTGCGTAGCCTGGTCGTCAGCCCAAGAAGCGTCCGCGTGCCCAGTGAGGACCACTGGACTGCGCCCTCCAAGCACTAGCCCCATGCCCGACGTACTGCACAAGTAGCGCAACACCCTCTTCGCTGCAGCCATGTGCTCTGGTCGGTGTCTCCCAGGAGCAACATAGCGTGCGAGAATGCTAAGAGGGTATGCAAGGTCAGGTCGTGTGCAGGTCATCAGGTACATGAGGCAGCCAACAAGCTCTGCATACGGACCACTCGACTCTACGGACTCATCCGAAGGCAGAGCTGAGAGCGAGTGGCGAGTAGGCAGAGGAGTGGCCTTAGGCGAGGAGTACGTGAAGCCGAAGCGCTGAAGGACCTGCTGCACCATGTGTGACTGAGTCAAGGTAATGGTGCAGCGTGCTCTGTCCCGGGTGATCTGCAAGCCAAGGTAGCTGCGCAGTTCACCCAGGTCAGTGCACGTGTGTCTCTTCTCCAGCTCGGACTTCACGTAGGCAAGTCCAGCAGTGTCAGCTGTGGCAAAGACCATGTCGTCGACGTACACGAGGATGTAGAACGGCGGCAGAGAGGTGTCGGTGCGCAGAAACAGCGACGGGTCGGCAGTAGAAGGAACAAACCCAAGAGCCGCAAGCGTAGTCCTCAGTGTGTCATGCCACTCACGTGGCGCCTAGCGGAGACCGTGGACTGGACGCCGGAGACTCCACTGGGTACCAGGAGGGAAAGACCCAGTGAAGCCAGGTGGGCGACGCAGCTAGATCTCCTCGTGCAGGCTGCCCTGCAAGAAAGCAGTGCTGAAGTCAAGAGAGTGGAGCTCGTAGTCACGGTGAGCAGCAACGTGCAGCAGTACCCGAAGAGTGGTCATCTTCGGGGTGGGGGAGAAGGTCTGAAAGTAATCAACTCCCTGCCGCTGACTGAAGCCACGAGCCACGTAACGCGCCTTGAAGACACGCGGAGAACCCGGCGGCCGCTTCACCCTGAAAATCCACATGCCACTAACTATGTTCGCACCAGAAGGGGGAACGGCGTCAACGTAGGTGCCTGTGGACTTCCAGGAAGCCATCTCTGCATCCATAGCTGCCTGCCAGTGAGAGGAGTAGGGACCCTCTATCGCCTCCGCGTAAGAGCGCGGTGTCGGGATGTCTAGTGCATCCGGGTCTCCCTCAAGGGCGAGCAGTACAGACGTGAGATGAGGTGAAGCGGCGGCCAGACACTGGACCTCCTCCTGCCTGTCCTCAAGGACGTCCATGCCAAGGGCACACTCACCCCCGACGGACGGAGGACAGGCAGACTCAGACTCAACGACAAGACTAGCAGCGTAGTCTAGACGACAGCGCGCAGCAAAGTCGACGAGCTCAGTGACAAGGGCAGACGCAGCAGAAGACTCGAAAGAAGGGTCAGTGACACCAGTAGCAAGGAGACACGTGACAGTAGGACTGGCAGCATGAAGAGAGTCCGACTTCAGGTCGGCAAGGGCAGGAAGAGAGGACTCAGGAGGAGAAGGCAAAGGGGCACGCAGAGGAGCAGTGGACGGACGCAGAGACATCCGGTGCGTGCCAGGGACAGGAGGAGGACGCTGACGCGAACCGCGACCACTAGTGCGTGCAGGGCGAACAGGCGACGCAGGACGAGACGTAGGCTCACGACGCTCAGTAAGACCTCCAGTCGGACCAGCGTAGGGAGAAGGAGCAGGCAAAGGGGAGGCAGGCTGTAGCTATGACTGGGACTGGACAGGCTGTGGACCCTCTAAGGGAGGAGGAGGAGGACCAAGAGAAGGTGTAAGACCAAGAACTTGCTGCAGGAGCGGAATGAAGTACGGTCGGGGCCGCGTGGCAATGCCAGAAACAGCAGGGACAGCACCAGTACTCCCAGCAGGAGTACTCGCTCTAGCAGCACCTCCAGCAGCACCTCTAGTAGCTCCAGAACCCCCAGCAGCACCAGGAGCACTGCCAGTCAGACCGCCAGCAGTAGTCTCAGCGCCAACACACTCAGCAGTACCAGCTCCTGGAGAAACCTCAGGCCCAGCAGCTCCAGCACCCACAGCACGAGCACCTCCGGGACGCGCGGCAGCAGCACCCTCTGTAGCCGAAGAACCTCCAGCACCAGCAGTACGCCTCCAGCGCCGGGCAAACCACTCACGCACCTCCTGTGGGGAGAGTGGCTCTTGGCGAGACGAAGCACCTCCAGGCGGAGAACCTCCAGGCGAAGAACCTCCAGGCTCAGCACCCTCAGGCAAAGCACCTCCAGGCAGAGCACCCCCAGTCTCAGCACCCCCAGGCTCAGCACCCCCAGGCTCAGAACCCCCAGTCTCAGCACCCCCAGGCTCAGCACCCCCAGGCCCAGCACCCCCAGACTCAGCACCCCCAGGCTCAGCACCCCCAGGCTCAGCTCCCGCAGCAGCACCAGAGTCACCAGTGACCTCGAGAGGCTCAACCGCGTCTACCTGGGACACACCTGAAGGGGCAGGACCCTGAGGGGGGAGGGGGTCTACCGGGGGGGGACCTGGTACCAAGAAGAGCGGGGGCGGGGGGAGGGACGGAGTGCGGTAGGGGAAGAGGCGGTAGTAGGGTACCGACTCGTCGAACGTGACGTCCTGGGAGGACAAAACACGTCGAGAGGTGGGGTGGTAGAACTGCCACCCAGGGGCCTCGGGGGGGAACCCCAGGAAGACGCAGGGAGCAGCGCGAGGGGACAGCTTGTCCGCAGACAAGTCGCGGACAAACGCCCGAGATCCCCAGACCCGGAACGCCGACGCATCGCCAACCTTCCCCGCCCACAGCAGGGCTGGGGAGGTCTCCGGCCTGGAGACCCTGGGGTGGAGGTTGATCTGATGCGCCGCGTACCTGACCGCAAACGGCCACAGAAAATGGGGGGCAGCCGCATGCATCATAGACGTACGAGCGACGTCCATGACCATGCCAATGCGGCGCTCTGCAATCCCATTTTGCTGCGGTGAGTCCGGAAGCGTGAAGGTCTGGCAGATGCCTCGCGCACGACAGAAGGCACGCAGAAGGCCAGAGGAGAACTCTCCGCCTCTGTCCGAGTGCAGACGCAACACAGGAAAGTCCGAGCCAAAGCTCTGCCTGAGCTGGAGACGAGCTGCGCGGATCCAGTCGATCAGCACCTCAGTGACATCACCCTCGCTGCGCAAGGGGAAGACTGTGGTGTAACGCGAGTAGTCGTCAACCACCAACAGGAAGTAGCGCTCCTGACCGAGTCCACGGGCGCGGGCAGGGCCCCACACGTCCATGTGAAGCGTCTGCAACGGAGCCTCTGTCGGAGGAAACTGGGAGGAGTGAGGGGCAGCACGCTGGCGTCCCTCGACACAGGGGACACAGGCAGGGCTAGGGCCCTGAGGAAGGGGAGGGAGGGACCGGGGGAGACCAGACACAAGAAGACGGGAGGCCATGCCTCTGAGCCGAAGCAGAGAGGGGTGGCCAAGGCGGTGGTGCAAGAGGAGAGTCTCGTGAGACAGACGGCGACACGAACAGGGGGCAGACTCAGGACCAGACCTGGACGCTGCAGCAAAAACCTGACCAGACAAAGGGACTCGACCAGACTCAGCACCGGGAGGAGAAGCAGTGGTCAGTGTGTACAGGCTCGACCCTGGCTGACGTATAAACGTAGCCAGGTGGCGACCTGTGCTAGCCTCTGTGCAATGTGTCACCCGCTAACGAGCAGGAGTGAACTGGTGGACACCCACATCCTGTAGGTCAGCACCACTCACCAGGTTCGTAGAGAACGAGGGGAGGTAGAGACCAGTCAGGGTGCCAGAGGGAGCCGCCGGACACGGGAGGACTGTGGAGAAACGAGACAGGACAGGACCCCCAGAGGGGTCAGCCAGGGACACCGCAACCGGTCGACTAAGCGGCGTGAGAGTGGTGCGGTCCCGAAAGAAGGAGCGAGATGCCCCAGAGTCAAGGGTGAAGGTGTGAGAGGCCGAAGCCGACACAGTACCTGAGAGTGCAGACTCACTAGTACCTGAGAGCACAGACGCACTGGCACCTAGAGCAGCAGCCTCACTGGCACTTGACGCAGTAGTACCAATGCCCGGGTCGGGCGGGAAACACCGGTAACAGTCACCCTCATCACTAACAGTCACAGCATACATGGCAGCAAGGATAGCATCAAAGTCAAGATCAAAGATGGCTATACCAGCCCTAGACAGCTCTCCCCAGCGGGGGATCTCAGAGGCCTCCGGAAACTGCTGGCGCCAAGCGTCGGTCAAGCGGGCAAAGCAGCGGCGGGCGGTGTGGGTGCCCCCACACTGCTCACCCGCGCGGTCGCCGGTGCGAAGGACGTAGGTGCAGGGACCGAACGCCCCACCACGCTGACGCTGCAAGTACCACTCACGGAGCTTCTGAGGGGCAGGGACTTCGCGAGAGCGCTGCTGCTGCTGCTGCTGCTGGCGCTGACCACCCCCAGTGCTGCTCCGCTAAGACGAGCCAGTCCAACCACCTCCACCACCGCCACCCCCGCCTCTGCCGCCACCGCCGCCACCGCCACCCTCGCCCTCGCCGCTCCCACCGCCACCTGCACCGCCACCTCCGCCGCCACCTCCGCCTCCACTGCCGCCACTAGTACCTCCACCCCCGCCACCACCTCCACCGCCACCCCCACTCCCCCCGCCGCCCCCACCTCCTCCGCTACCGCCCCCGCTAGCTCCACCCGCTCCCTTGCCCCCCTTGCCCTTGCCAGAGCGGCGCCTACCGCTGGGGGCAGACGCCGCACCGACCGACTCTAGACCAACGAGGTCGGCCGCAGCAGCAGAGGCGACAGAGGGTAACAGGGGGGAAGGAGAACACCCCTCAAAGATGGGGGTGCAGGGGTCACCACGAGAGGCCCCTACAGCGACTATGCTCTTCTCGGCCGCTAGCAGGGACTTCTCGAGGAGGTCGACAGTGAGGTTTGTGGGACAGACAGAGAGAAACTGGTCCCTAACAGCACGAAGGGACTCAGGGAGACGGGTGACTAGAAAGTAGAGGGTGATGTACATGGGAGGGGGGTTTTCGGCGCAGAAGGCAGCAGGAAGCGCAGCTCGGTAGCGAGTGTCACTAGCGCGAAGGTGGGTAAAGAGGTCAGCGACTGTAGGAAATGCAGCAAGGTCAGGGAAGAGGTACGGTAGCATGAGGCGGCTCAGTGTAGCAGAGGAAGGGGAGGAGTAGCGCGCAACTACAGCGTCGTACAAGGCCTGAGCGGTCTTGCACTGACTAAAGTGTGCGCGCTCGGAGGAAGGGAGGTGGCGACGCACAGCAAGACGTGCAGCAGCATCGCGTGAGGCCCACTTGGAGCGCACAGTGGGGTCAGCATCAGCAGGAGGGGCAGGTAGAGCGCCAGAGACTAAGTCAAAGAGAGAAACTTCATCTACCGTATCGCAAAGCAAGTACAGCTGCAGGTCGTCGACCCTGACCGCAAAGTCAATGGCGCGACCCTCAGCGTCAAAAGCCAGGACACTGGGGGTGGCCATGATAGCAGCTGACAGTCTCACCGGACAGGAAGGGTCGGGTCGCTCAGCAGCACAGCAACACAGCAGCACACCACACCGCCGGCCCAGGAGCAGTAGCAGCCCCACAGGAGCAGGAGCTCGGCACCTCAGACGGCTCGGGCGGCTCGGGCGGCTCGGGCGGCTCGGGCGGCTAGGGCGGCTCGGGCACGCAGCAGCACGGGCGGCTCGGGCGGCTCTGCTGCTCGGGCGGCTCGTGCGGCTCGGGTGACGCTGGGGCTCACGGGCGGCGCGGGCGTCGTGGCGGGCGGCTCACGGGCGGCTCGCGGGCGGCTCACGGGCGGCTGCACAGGCGGCTGGGGCGGCTCACGGGTGGCTCGTGGGGTTGCTGCACGGACGGCTGCACGGGCGGCTGCACGGGCGGTTGCACGGGCGGTGCACGGGCGGCGCACGGGCGGCTGCACGGGTGGCGCGTCGGGCGGCAGCACGGGCGGTTGCACGGGCGGCTGCACGGGCGTTCATGGGCGGCTGCACGGATGGCTGTACGGGCGGCTGCACGCGCGGCGCGTCGGGCTGCTGAGGGCGACGCACGGGCAGCCCACGGGCGGCTAGCGGGCGTCGGGCGGCGCGCAGGCGACGGGCGGCTAGTGGGCGCTGGGCGGCTAGCGGGGGTCGGGCGGCTAGCGGGCGTCGGGCGGCTAGCGGGCGCCGGGCGGCTAGCGGGCGTCGGGCGGCTGGCGCGTCGGGCGGCTAGCGCACGGGCGGCTCCGGGTGGCGCACGGGCGGCTCTGGGCAGCGCGCGGGCGCTAGGGCGCTAGGGCGGGCAGCGGGTCGTGAGAGCGCTAGGGCGCGAGGGCGGGCAGCGCGCGGGCGCTAAGGCGCTAGGGCGCGAGGGTGGGCAGCGGGGCGCGGGTGCTAAGGCGGCGCTCGGGCTGCTAGGGCGGGCGGCGCGCTAAGGCGGCGCTCGGGCCGTAGGGCAGATCGAAAAAAAAAGTAAGAGCAAGGGCCCGGAGCGCGCTCCGGGCAGAAAAAAAAGGTTCGATGTGGTGGGCCCTAAGCACAGTTCCCACGGGTGAACCTGCTCGATACCATGATAAAGTTAGAACGAGAATGAATTGACTATGAACGAAGTGAGTACAAATAGGAAATCCTAGTTGGGTTGTACCCCCTATGGGATACCCCACTATAGCCTACACAAATAAGTAAGCTATAATGTTCTGACACGGGCGGCTCGGGCGGCTCGGGTGGCTCAGGCGTCTCGGCGGCTCGGGCGACTCGGGCGGCTCGGGTGTCTCGGGCGGCTCGGGCGGCTCGGGCGGCTCGGGCTGTTCTGGCAGCTCGGGCGGCGCGGGCGGTGTGGGGCGGCAGGGCCGCTGGTGAACGGTGGCGGGGCCGCTGAGTAGGGCGGCGGGGCCGCAGGAGTAGGGCGGCGGGGCCGTAGGAGTAGGGCGGCGGGGCCGCAGGAGTAGGGCGGCGGGGCCGCAGGAGTAGGGCGGCGGGGTCGTAGGAGTAGGGCGGCGGGGCCGCAGGAGCAGGGCGGCGGGTCCGCAGGAGTAGGGCGGCGGGGCCGCTGCAGAAGGGCGGCGAGGCCGCTGAGCAGGGCGGCGGGGCCGCGAGGTAGGGCGACGGGGCCGCGAGGTAGGGCGACGGGGCCGCGAGGTAGGGCGGCGGGGCCGCGAGGTAGGGCGGCGGGGCCGCGAGGTAGGGCGGCGGGGCCGCGAGGTAGGGCGGCGGGGCCGCGAGGTAGGGCGGCGGGGCCGCGAGGTAGGGCGACGGGGCCGCGAGGTAGGGCGGCGGGGCCGCGAGGTAGGGCGGCGGGGCCGCGAGGTAGGGCGGCGGGGCCACGAGGTAGGGCGGCGGGGCCGCGAGGTAGGGCGGCGGGGCCGCGACGACGGGCGGCGGGACCGAAGCGACGGGCGGCGGGGCCGAGGCGACGCGCGGCGGGGCCGCTAGGGGAAAGGGGCCGCTAGGGCGGCTCGACGAGGTGAGAGCCCGAAGTGCGACTCGGGCGGAGCGCGCTTCGGGCAGGAAAAAAAAAAGGTCGATGTGGTGGGCCCTAGGCACAGTTCCCACGAGGGAACCTGCTCGATACCATGAGAAGATGTGAACGAGAATGAATGACTAAGGAATGGAAGTGATACAAATATGCAACCCTAGAAATGTGTACCCCATATGGGCTACCCCACTATAGCCTACACAATATTATAATTTGACATCGACAACCCACGGGAATCAGGAGGATTGAATTCCTCGTTCGCTGGAAGGATCGCACACCAACTGAAGGTAGGTGGGTGCCTCTGGCCAATATTGAAAACCACCCTGCCCTGCAAGTGTACCGGAGGAGCCCAGGTTTCCGCGATATACACGCACTCGCGTATCGGAGGGGCTTCTTGAGGGGGGGGGGGGGGGGGGGGGGGGGGGGGTATTGTAAGGAATTTTCTCGATATTCCTTAGCGCACCCTGCAACACCGCGTACAACAGCAGCCATTGTTCGTCTGTTACTGCTAACGGGGCTTCGCCGACTTCGCGCGCACTGTTTTCCCAAACCTCGCACTGGAAGACCGGCCGTGTCGGCCTACGCTTCGGGACTAGCCCGAGCCTCGCTTCCAGTGTAGCACTAGCTAGCTTGCACGCACCGCGTTACCTTTTGCATGTTTCGTGTATAAATGTTCGCTCATGCCTTCGCTCACATTTTGTACTCGTTTGACACCTTAGTGCAATTCTCGCTACTTCGATTCATTGCACCCGTAACAGGGAGCCAGGGTTGGGAAGGTTGTCATTCACAAACGGGGTTTTCTCCCGTCACCAAACTCACCTTGCCACACTCCCACACTTGGCAGAATAAGAGACTAATAGCTAATAGAATAGGTAGAACGAACCAAGTAGTGGCGACATGGCGAGTACTAGTGACGCCTCGCTTTCGCTCAACCGCAATGTCGGCTTCGCGCGTATACGAAGACGCGCTCGCGCCGTCTCGTGCGCCCAGACGCATTCGCGCCGTCGCCGTCGCGCCGCCGCATAGAATCCGCATTCCCCCTGTCGCAAGCCCCCTTCGACGTTCCCTTGCCGCATCCCCCCCTCCGCAATCCGTCACAAACTACGAAGCTACGCTCACACACTTGGCGAGGCAAATCAGCGACTATACTAGGAATTTCCCGTGGTATAGCTAGCCAAGTTGTGCTGGCTATACCGACAACGCGACTTTTCACCTAGTCGCGCGTGAATTACTAAACATGTAGTCTAAGCCTTGAAAACGACCATCGATCGAGTGTGCTAGCGCCCTTTCCCCGCCGCTTTGCATTCGGACTGCCGCCGCGTGGCATTCGCCGAGCCCGCCGTGCATGCCGCGCGCCCATCGTAACCTATTTGGTAATCGTTGCATTCAAAATCGACACATCGACCCTGCTGAGCCTCCTTTCCGCCCCTGCTTCCCCTCCTTTCCCCCTCTTCCTTCCCCTCTTTTCCCTCCTACCTCCCCCCTGTACCCCCTCCTTTCCCCCCCTGCTTTTCCTCCTTCCCGCCCCTGTTTCTCCTCCTTTCCCCCCTTGCTTTCCCTCCATCCCTCCCCTGCTTCCACTTTTTCCCCCCCTGCTTTTCCTCCTTCCCGCCCCTGTTTCCCCTCCTTTCCCCCCTTGCTTTCCCTCCATCCCTCCCCTGCTTCCCCTTTTTCCCCCCCTGCTTTTCCTCCTTTCCGCCCCTGCTTCCCTTCCTTTCCCCCTCTTCCTTCCCCTCTTTTCCCTCCTACCTCCCCCCTGTACCCCCTCCTTTCCCCCCCTTCTTTTCCTCCTTTTTGCCCCTGCTTCCCCTCCTTTCCCCCACTTTCTTCCCCTCCTTTCCCCTATTGCATCCCTCTACCTTCCCAACACCCTTATATTCCTCACCATCTGCCCTCTTCACCTTCGTTTTTCTCGGCCCTTCCATCCCATCCCTTTCGTCCCTTTCGTCTCCCTGCCAACACACCTGTCAAGAAACTGGCGTATGCGCTGCCGGTGCAGGCACTGGCAGGGTGTGTGGCACCGTGCCATTCTGCCTACTCCAACAGGTGAAGCACGTGCTTGACACCATGGCGCCAGCTGTCGGCCTCTCAGTGGCTCTCATCAATGGCCAGTCATCGCTCGCTGACGAGGCAATCCACCTGAGGGGCCCTTCACGTCTCCATTCCCTGCCTTCACATCTCCACTCCCTGCCTTCACATCTCCACTCCCTGCCTTCACATCTCCACTCCCTGCCTTCACATCTCCACTCCCTGCCTTCACATCTCCACTCCCTGCCTTCACATCTCCACTCCCTGCCTTCACATCTCCACTCCCTGCCTTCACATCTCCACTCCCTGCCTTCACATCTCCACTCCCTGCCTTCACATCTCCACTCCCTGCCTTCACCTCTCCACTCCCTGCCTTCACATCTACACTCCCTGCCTTCACATCTCCACTCCCTGCCTTCACATCTCCACTCCCTGCCTTCACATCTCCACTCCCTGCCTTCACATCTCCACTCCCTGCCTTCACATCTCCACTCCCTGCCTTCACATCTCCACTCCCTGCCTTCACATCTACACTCCCTGCCTTCACCTCTCCACTCCCTGCCTTCACATCTACACTCCCTGCCTTCACCTCTCCACTCCCTGCCTTCACATCTACACTCCCTGCCTTCACCTCTCCACTCCCTGCCTTCACATCTACACTCCCTGATTTCGGATCTCTTTTCACCTCTTTTCTTCCCTGGCCTTCCTTCCATGCCCTTCCCATCCCTACGCTTCCCTTCCCCTGCCCACCCTTCCCTTCCCGATCCCTTCTCCCTTCTCTCTCTTGCATGCCCTCCCCTTCCCCCTCACTCACTTTTCCCTTCTGCCCCCTAGGTTCGTAAATGGTGTCATTACTTGCTTGTACTCAGGTTCTGTTTCTCCTCTTCCGCCTCATAGCACGTCCCCATTGGGTTTTCACACAAACGTTTCTGCATACTCTGATAATTGGTAGTGCTGAAACAGGCCAGCAGATGCAAGCAGAGGCGCAGCTAGTAGTGGATGGTGCTTACAACTTTTGTAGTCTCGTGTGCATAGTACCGTATGAGTAGTGTGTCTCAAACAGTGAACGCAACGGGATGATTGGAATAGAAACGAATGGGGTACAAATAAGCAACCCTAGAAGCTGTACCCCCTAGAGTGCAACTCACTACAGCCTATCACATCATTGTGCAACATTTGACACACCCCCATAGGCTAAGTGAGGGGCATCAAAGCAAGCAAGGTGAACAAACGGTCACAAGACCTGTCAAAGCAAGAACCAAGGCAAGCTCAGGGTGGATCTCAAGGACACCACACAAATTCCGAGCGCAAGCAAGCGGCCACAAGGTCAGTTCAAGAGTTCACTAGGATATAAATACAAAGCACAACGAGCAGAGCAAACAACAGGACTACAGCAACCGAGGGCCTACCTCAACAAGCCCCAACTGCACACAGAACCTGTGGTGGTCACCAAGCGCCAAGGCCTTGGTGAAGACGTCTGCAGTGTTGGCCTCTGAGGCCACAAAGTCCAGGCGTGCCTGACCGCGTCGCTGCAGCTCTCGCAGGAGGAAGTACCTCACGTCAATATGCCTCACTCTGCTCTCCAGTCGAGGCTCTCGACACAGGAGGATCATGGCCTTGTTGTTAGCGTACAAGGTCGGTGCAGAGCGAGGCCGCTTACCAAGGTCTGCGAGCAAGAAGGTCAACCAGCGAAGCTCCTGTGCCGCCATGGCACCCGCGTAGATCTCTGCCTCTGCATTGGAAGTAGCCACAGACGACGACCGTGTAGACCTCCACGACACACCACCAGCTCCCAGACTGAAGCAGTAACCCTGAGTCGAGCGCTGAGTCTCCACGTCGTCAGCGCAGGAAGAGTCACAGTGACCAGTCAACACCACTGGCTGAGTCCCTCCAAGCACAAGCCCCATGCCTGATGTAGTCGCCAGGTACTTCGCCACCCTCACAGCAGCTGTCCAGTGGACAGGGCGGTGTCTCCCAGTCGCAACAAAGCGAGAAAGGATGCAAAGGGGAAAGGCGAGGTCCGGTTGAGTACAAGTCATCAGGTACATGAGGCAGCCCACCAGCTCTGCGTAGGGTCCACTGGACTCAAAGGGCTCGTCAGGAAAGGGGCCCGTGAGTCTGTGGTCAACAGCAAGAGGAGTGGGCTGTGTGGTGGAGAACTGGAAGTCGAACCGCCGAAGGACCTGCTGCACCATGTGTGACTGCGTCAGTGTGATGGTGCGAGCAGCTCTGTCCCGGGTGATCTGCAAGCCAAGGTAACGTTGCAGCTCACCCAGGTCAGTGCACTTGTGTCTCTTCTGCAGTTCGGACTTCACCTCAGCAAGGGCTGCCCTGTCTGCTGTAGCAAACACCAAGTCGTCGACGTAGACAAGGATAAAGAAAGGAGTAGAATCCGCTTGAACAAACAGCGACGGGTCGGCGGAAGACGGGCTGAACCCAAGGTCACAAAGCGTGGAGCGAAGAGTGTCGTGCCACTCACGGGGCGACTGTCTGAGACCGTAGACTGGTCGCCTCAGGCTCCACTGGGTCCCAGGTGGGAAGGTGTCAGTGAAGCCAGGAGGACGACGCAGCCAGATCTCCTCGTGCAGTCGGCCCTGGAGGAACGCAGTGGAGAAGTCAAGGGAGTGCAGCTCGTAGTCTCGCTGCGCTGCTATGTGGAGTAACACCCGAAGAGTAGTCATCTTCGGGGTCGGGGCGAAGGTCTGGAAGAAGTCAACTCCCTCACGCTGACTGAAGCCCCTAGCCACGTAGCGCGCCTTGAACACCGGCGGTGCTTTAGGCAGCCGCTTCACCTTGAAGAGCCACATGCCATCGACTACGTTCGCACTGGGAGGGGGAACTGCGTCGACGTAGGTGCCTGTGGACCTCCAAGATGAGAAAGCTAGAACAAGAATGAAAATGACTAAGTGAAAGTTGGGTACAAGTACAAACCCTAGAAAGCTGTACCCCATATGTGCTACCCCACTATAGCCTACAGTAACTATGTCATATAAATCTGACACACCCCCATAGGCAAAGTGGGGGAGAACAAGGGGTCACAAGACCAGTCAAGCAAAGCAAAACAAGCTCAGGGTGGATCACAAAGTCACCACACATTCCGAGCACAAGTTCAAGGCTACAAGGCCAGTTCACATGCAGGATTACATATATATATAAGGCTAGACAAGCAAGAGCAGGTGTATATATATATATGCAACAGTACAAACAAGGTCAAGAGGTGAGCAAGTGAGGCAAGGTAGGCACAAGACCCAGCTGATACAGAAGCGCTGATGATCACAAGGCGCAAGTGCCTTGGTAAAGATACCAGCAGTGTTGGCCTCAGAGGCAACGTACGCAAGGCGCAGCTGACCACGCTGCTGTAGCTCACGAGCAAGGAAGTAGCGGAGAGCAATGTGCTTCGTTCTGTGCTCCAGTCTCTGCTCTTGACACAAGGCCAGCATGGCCTTGTTGTCTACGTACAGCACTGGAGGAGAACGAGGCGGCTCTCCGAGGTCAGTCAGCAGGTAGGTGAGCCACCGAAGCTCCTCTGCAGCCATGGCCCCTGCGTAGATCTCAGCCTCACAACTGGAGCCGAGAACAGAAGACGAGCGGGTAGCCCGCCACGAAACAGAGCCGGAACCAAGGCTGAAGGTGTAACCCTGTGACGACCGCTGCGTAGCCTGGTCGTCAGCCCAAGAAGCGTCTGCGTGCCCAGTGAGGACCACTGGACTCTGCCCTCCAAGCACAAGCCTCATGCCCGACGTACTGCACAAGTAGCGCAACACCCTCTTCGCTGCAGCCATGTGCTCTGGTCGGTGTCTCCCAGGAGCAACATAGCGTGCGAGAATGCTAAGAGGGTATGCAAGGTCAGGTCGAGTGCAGGTCATCAGGTACATGAGGCAGCCAACAAGCTTTGCATACGGGCCACTCGACTCTACGGACTCATCCGAAGGCAGAGCTGAGAGCGAGTGGCGAGTAGGCAGAGGAGTGGCCTGAGGCGAGAAGTACGTGAAGCCGAAGCGCTGAAGGACGTGCTGCACCATGTGTGACTGAGTCAGGGTAATGGTGCGGCGTGCTCTGTCCCGGGTGATCTGCAAGCCAAGGTAGCTGCGCAGTTCACCCAGGTCTGTGCACGTGTGTCTCTTCTGCAACTCGGACTTCACGTGGGCGAGTCCAGCTGTGTAAGCTGTGGCAAAGACCAAGTCGTCGACGTACACGAGGATGTAGAACGGCGGCAAAGAAGTGTCAGTGCGCAGAAACATCGACGGATCGGTAGTAGAGGGAGCAAACCTTAGAGCCGCAAGTGTAGTCCTCAGTGTGTCGTGCCACTCACGCGGTGCCTGGCGGAGACCGTAGACTGGCCGTCGGAGGCTCCACTGGGTGCCAGGAGGAAAAGACCCAGTGAAGCCAGGTGGGCGGCGCAGCCAGATCTCCTCGTGCAGGCTGCCCTACAGGAACGCAGTGCTGAAGTCAAGAGAGTGAAGCTCGTAGTCACGGCGAGCAGCTATGTGCAGCAGTACCCGAAGAGTGGTCATCTTCGGGGTGGGAGAGAAGGTCTGAAAGTAGTCAACTCCCTGCCGCTGACTGAAGCCACGAGCCACGTAACGCGCCTTGAAGACAGGTGGAGAACCCGGCGGCTGCTTAACCCGGAAAATCCACATGCCGCTGACGATGTTCGCCCCAGGCGGGGGAACCTCATCAACGTAGGTGCCTTTGGACTTCCAGGAAGCCATCTCTACGTCCATAGCTGCCTGCCGCTGAGAGGAGTAGGGACCCTCTATCGCCTCCGCGTAAGAGCGCGAAGTCGGGATGTCAAGTGCATCTGGGTCTCCCTCAAGGGTAAGCAGTACGGACACGAGATGAGGTGAAGCAGCAGTTACACACAAGAACTCCTCCTGCCCATCCTCAAGGACGTCCGTGCCAAGGGCACACTCACCCCCGACGGACGGAGGACAGACAGACTCAGCGACAAGACTAGCAGCGTAGTCTAGACGACAGCGAGCAGCAAAGTCGACGAGCTCAGCAACTAGGGCAGACGCAGCAGTGGACTCAAAGGAAGGGTCAGTGATGACAGTAGCAAGGAGATGCGTGACAGTAGGAGTGGCAGCACGAAGAGAGTCCGACTCCGGGTCGGCAAGAGCAGGAAGAGAGGACTCAGAAGGAGAAGGCAAAGGGGCAGGCAGAGGAGCACTGGACGGCTGCAGAGACATCCGGTGCGTGCCAGGGACAAGAGGAGGACGCTGACGCGAACCACGACCACTAGTGCGAGCAGCACGGACAGGCGACGCAGGGCGAGACGCAGGCTCACGACGCTCAGCAAGACCTCCAGTAGGACTAGTGTAGGGAGAAGGAGCAGGCACGGGGGAGGACGGCAGTAACTGTAACTGTGACGGGACAGGCTGTGGACACTCTAAGGGAGGAGGAGGACCAGTAGAAGGCGGGAGACCAAGAACCTGCTGAAGGAGCAGAACGAAGTACTGCCGAGGCCGCGCGGCGACTCCAGACACAGCAGGGACAGCACAAGTACCCCCAGCGGCAGCACCAGCGCCAGCAGCACCCCAAGCTCTTGTACCTCCAGCAGCACCAGTAGCACCCCCAGGAGGACCGCCTCCACGACCGATAGCAGTAGCCTCAGCGCCAACACCCTCAGCAGCTCCAGCTCCAGTCGTACCCGCAGGCCCAGCAGCT